TCGGCCACCGATGGAAAGGCTAAGATCTGTAGCTTTGGCTGAGGTCACTATCTTTCATCCCGAGGCTAAACTCACCTCAAGAGGATCGACAGCAGTAACAGCGTGAACTCCGATAGCGTCAAGACACCGTCGTAAAATAAAGGTGTGAGTTGCTCCGGTATCGAATAACGCAAATACAGGAATATCATTGAGAACAACCATCCCGGACATAGTACCTGGTTGCTGTGCTGCCTCCACCTGATCGACCGCGTAAACCCTGGCCTGCTGCCGGCCCCTCTGCTGCTGCTGCTGCTGCTGCGGTCTCTGCACCTGCTATCGTGGCTGCTGCTGCTGTGGGGGCTGCTGAGGCTGCTGCTGAAGCTTCTTCGGGCAACGACTCGCGAAGTGTCCCGGCTCCTGGCAAAAGTAACAGATGTCCTGTCCAGCACGACACTCTCCCCTGTGAAGTCGACCACAAGTCGGGCATGGTGGAATCTCCTGCAGCCTCCGTCGGGTCCTCTTATCTGTCGGGGCACCCTTCCCTTTTCTTTTGTTGTTCTTTGGCGGCTGTGTAGGTAGTACAGCTGGTGGAACTGCGACTGGCTGAGCTGGGGCAGATGGCTGAGCACGATCACGAACGGCCTCCCTCCTAATGCTAGCGTCAACCTCCTGGGCGATAGAGACTGCTCGTGCATACGTCTGAGTCCCGTGTCCCACAATGTTATGACGAACTGCTGGGTAAAGTCCGTCAATAAACCGCTGAGCTCTCTGGGCCTCCGTGCGAACAAGATCCAGTGCGAAACCTGCAAGTCTTGTGAACTCACGCTCGTACTCATCGACAGTACGAGTGCCCTGCTGAAGCGCTAAGAACTGGCGCTCCATCTCTGCCCGATAGTAAGAAGGGTAGTACTCTTCGCGGACCAGATTCTTGAACATGTCCCATGTACAACCCGCCTTTTCACCGGGACGCATGCTCCAGTAGGCGTTCCACCAGAGCCTCGCATCGCTAGTGAGCTGAAGCTGAGCGCAAACTACGCGATATCTATCGGGGCATTCCATAGCCTCAAAGATAAACTCCAACCCCTGAATCCATTCATCAACGATACGGGGGTCGCCTTGTCCTGAAAACTTCTCTGCATGATAGTCGCGGAACTGAGCGACTACCGTAGCCTGGGTAGGACCCTGATGATCGGGCTCTCTACGCGGCGGCATCTGATTCATTGAGAAAAGATTAACATTACTGAATATTACATGATAACCTTACTGACTGATTACTAGGCATACAGATCTCTTGACGAGTTGCCAAAATTTGGCCGATAATTACTGACGTGAAACCTGAAAAACTCTAGAGTCATATAGGAAAAATCTTAACGTCTAGAGTCATATCTGAATGCCTG